GTCTTCTTTGAGGTCTTCCAAGAACTCCAACGACTTCCTCCCTTATGGAAAGAGACTCGTTCCTCAAATTATGGATGACCTAGCCGACACCGAGCCATTGCGGACCGTGTTCTCGCTCGCAACCCTTTCTGGAAAGTCCATCCAATTGAGATACATCTCTGCGCGGGAGTTCACCAATGCAGTAAACAAGACTGCTTGGTGGATTCATAACCAAGTGGGAAAACCTGACTCAATCCAGCCTATTGGTTACATTGGACCTCGTAAGTCACAGATGACCTTTCCGTCTCGTCGTTCTGCTTGCTAATAACCACCAGATGATCTGCGGCATGTTCTACTTACCCACGCATGTTCCAAGGCTGGTTACGCTGTAAGTCGACTCATCATTATTTTGTTACACCTTTGATCATGCTAATAAAGGCGAGTTCTACAGACTCTGTTTCTCTCCCCTAAGAACACCTTAGAAGGTACCTTGGCAGTGCTTGAAGCCACCTCCTGCAACATCTGGGTAAAGCCAGGGGAGTTAGCCACTATCCCTCTAGTCAAGGATGTTCTAGAGAGACGCCCTATGAGGGTTCTCGAACTTCCTTTACTAGACGATCTTCTTGATGCCGACTCCACTCCTCCTTTCCCATTCACAAAAACATTTGAAGAGGCCGTCAATGAGCCGTTCTGTTTCTTACATACTTCGGGGTCAACTGGTCACCCCAAGCCCATCCCTTGGAGTCATGGGTTGATTGGCACTATGGATGCTATACAAATCCTCCCACCGACTGAAGGCGACGACGGTCTATTGCCGTGGACTGCGGATTGGAAGAAGGGGGATAGAATTTATTCTTCATTCCCCATGAGTCACGTACGTATTCCGTTTCCTGCCTGGGCTTGAATGCAGTTGACTAATTTAGCATTTAATCAGGGCGCTGGTGTAATTATGGACATACTATTGCCTGCCCTCCTTAACTTGCACTGTGTCTTGGGGCCCGTGGGTGTTCTGCCCAATATGAATCTGATCGAGTCCCTCGCGGAGCAAGCCAAGATTAATATTTGGAGCATGGTCCCCTCGCTTGTTGACGAGCTCGGCGAGACGCCCGATGTCCTGGCGAAATTCAAATCTTCGAAATTCATTTGCGCATCTGGCGGTGAGTCTCTTCCATAACTATGTTCTCTTCCTGCTCTGTAGCTCACTTGTCATCTTTTACCCAGGCCCAGTCAGTCCCATCAGCGCAGGAAAAGTGAACGAGGTGATCCGGGTCCTCAACTTGACAGGCACCACAGAAGGGCTCTTTATTGGCAACCTTGTAGTGCCAAGAGAAGACTGGTGGTGGTTCTCCTTTCATCCATACTCTGGCTTCGAGTTCAAGGAGGTCGAGCCGGGGACTTACGAGCACTGGGTCCATCGTAATGAACATTGGCCTTTGTTCCAGGGCATATTTCATACGTTCCCAGATAAGGACTCAATTAACCTCAAAGATCTGTACAAAAGACATCCCACGAAGCCTAATCTTTGGGCTTTCAAGGGAAGAAGCGACGATCTCGTCGTTCTGTCCAATGGCTACAAGATCTCACCCCTGGAGACTGAAGCGTTTATCAGCACGCACCCCGCCATTGATGGCTGTCTAGTCGTAAGTCGGTCTTTATATATTGATACACTACACTGAAGAATAAATGCTAACCTACTGAAACGGCACAGATTGGAACGGGGAGGCCTCAAGCGGCTCTTCTTATTGAGCTGAAAGACCCCTCATCTAAGACTGATGAGAAGCTGCTGGACAGTATCTGGGAGACCGTCCAGAAAGCAAACTCGCAGTCTCGGCACAAAAACCAGCTGCTAAGAGACTTCATTACCTTTGCGGAAGCCGATAAGCCCTTCATTCGCACCGACAAGAGAACCGTGAAGCGACCCGCAACGCTGGCGCTGTATGCCGATTTCATCGAGAGATTTTACAGCTCTCGGAATGACGACTTGCCTGCGACCGGCATGGATACAAGCTCCGTTGAATCAATCCAGCGTTCATTCCGCAGTGTCCTTGAGCACACACTGCCCGGTATACAGGAAGCTCCCGCCGACGCTGATTTGTTCGAGCTCGGCCTCGACTCACTGGGCGTGTTTGCAGCCGTGAAAACAATTCGTGCCGCCACAGGTTTGAAGGACAAGTTCTCCACTCGCTACATATACTCAAATCCCACGATTTCCTCCGTATCTACCGTCATTCACCGACTCGTGGGGGAAATGGAGGCGGAGAAGAAGAGTCTGGCTCCTCCCAAGGATGCAGTTTCGGCCAACCTCAATAGCTTGATTGCCCAGCACAAGGCCAGGCAGTCTTTCCGATTGAACTCGCTGGATTACGTGAATCCAAACCATTACATGGGCCTCATGTTCTATTTTCCTCTGCAAGAAGGCGTCAGCTACGAGCAGGTTTTCGAGAATCTTCAGGAAGGCCTCAACCGCACTCTGGAGCTCATCCCTGCCTTAGGCGGGAGAATGATGAACTACTCTGAGCAGGAGTTCGGATATAACAACAAGGGTGACCTTGGGGTGACGATTCCTCCGCTCTCCAAGGCGGCATCGGTTCGCAATCGCCTAGTGTACAAGGATCTGTCTAATGTCCTACCTGCCTTTGAGAAGCTGCGAGAAGATGGATTTGTCCCCTCTGCGCACAGAGATGATCAGGTACTGCCCGATGACCCTTTCCCTAAGTACCCCGCGAATATACTGGTCGCTCAGGCCAACTTTGTTAAAGGCGGCTGTATCCTGGCCGTGGATATGAATCATTGCTGTTTGGATGGAATGGGCGTTATGATCGCTCTGAAAGCCTGGGCCGAGAATTGTAGATACCTGCAAGGTGATCACTCAGCAACATGTGACTGGTATGATTCTGAAAGCTTCAACCATAGCTTGCCAGAGATTATCCATGAGCAAGAGGGTTGGTCCCGTCCCGTCGAGGAGATAGATCCAGGCACCTGGGGTTACTTGCCATTCTTCCCTCCCGAGGGCACCTTGGAGGCATACACTCCCAGAGAAGGCGATCTTCCTCGACCGCCAGTCTTCCCTCTGCATTCTGTGTGGCCTCTGCCCCGCGCCGAGAGAGTGACGAAGACAACCCTGTTCAAAATATCTCCGGAGAACGTGCAGAAGCTGAAGGACGAAGTTCTCGCCGACCCGGAGGCCAAGGGAGCCATTACGTCTATTAGTGATATCGTACAGGCCTTCTTGTGGCGCTCTGCCATTAGGGTGCGGTATCGTGTGGCGAGGGAGCAGAAGGGGAGGACATTCAGCCCGGACGAGATGTCCATCCTTGAGTTACCTACCGATGGCCGGCCCTACTTCTCATCTCTCTTGCCTGAAACGTACATGGGGAGCTTGCTTATACTTAATCGGTCGAGCATGCCCATCGAAACGCTCTGCGCGCCGGAGACGACCATTGGGCAGATTGCATATCTGCTTCGCACTGCCGCCGCGAGAATCACGCCGTCGCTCGTCCACGACGCCTTTACCATTCTGCAATCGTTGACGGACCACAGCAGGTTCTCGACGGCCAACATGGGCGTCGACCATTTCCACGCCATGATCTCCAACATGATCCTGTTCCAGACCAGCGAGGTCAACTTTGGAGACAAGTTCTTTGGTAACAATGGATCCCCGGAGCAGATGCGACCTCAGTTGGAGCGTGGGAACGGCCGCTTCCGGTTTTTGATCATTCCTCCGATGCTGAAGGACGGGGGCGTGGAATTGCTGTTTGGGACTTACCCGGAGGAGCTGGAGATTTTGAAGACGGACGAGGAATTTGTCAAGTATGCAGAGTTTGTGGACGCATGATTGGCAGGGCCGTGTCCGTTTTGACTTCATCTATGTATTCGGTACTCTTATGAACTCTTTCTTTTAGAACAGCGATAGTTAGTGGTAATCTTTCAGTATCTCCTCTCAAAATCACTCGCAATACTGGCTTTGAAGCTGGGTTCCAAGATAGATACAACGCAATTGGACTCGTACACACTGTATTTTCTGCACAATTCACCTCGCCATCCGTAAGAAGGCATTTATCATCAGCTGGGAAGTACCGGCTCGGCCTAACCCATCTAGTGTTGTAGAAGACGGCTGCCAAAGAGCTCAAAGGTTCGCTCTGCACTGCAAGACTAATGCAAGTCGATACGATGATCCTTGATGGTCCACTTGTGCCCCATGAAGGAGCCCGGTCCGCTCGTATATAGATACACCCTGTCAGAGAAACTTGCTCACTGCAAATCTCGTAGTGGCATCAACCAACCTGCTCGCATGTAGATGCGGTGCTTCCAAGATCTTATTTCCCACCTACCCCAGTCACCTGCCGGGGTTCGTTCTGCGTTATCCTTCTGAAGGCTTCTCTGCCTTCGTTTGTGCGTACAACTCCTCACAGCAAAGTTTGTGGTTACATATTGTGGCTTGGAGATCCTGCGCCGAGGATTACCTCTCGTCAGCATCGCCGATCGCACGCAGAGACAATACGTAGGTATGCGTCTATCAGCGCGATAGATGATCGCCAGTGCCAGAGGAGCGCCTCCAAACAACGTGGCAAGGGCATTGCCGGGCCCTGCTGAGGGGCTTCCCGTATACACACCCCCCCTCCGCCAGCCGAGATCTCGTGAACAATGATCGAAATGTACTAGACTGGCCGTTTCCTTGTTAGTTTTGCGCCGAGGCGGCTGCAGGGCGGAAGAGCAGCCTACGCTGAGACAGGAAGCTATCCTGAGACAAGGGTCTGGCGGATGAGCAAGTTTTCTCAGCTACGCTTCAAGTCGTGCCAGTTCACTGATCAATGAAGGTTTTATTGATTGCAGAACAAAAAAAGATTGCCATTCATCTTTAGCACCAGCCACTTGTGTCACTGCTGTGGCTCGTTGCTGTCACATTAAGTTCACCTGCTCCCAACCTCCTTCCTCCTTCCTCAACTTCCACCTTCCCCCATTCTCCCTCCACCAACGCGCGACTCCATCTCCTCCTCGACACAGAGAGACATCAATTCATCATGGTGAGCTCCAACGACGAGCCTCGCGTCGAGGATAACAAACTCGCTCACCACCAGATCACCGATGTCGAAGAGCGCGACAGTTCCTCCGACCCCAGCGATGACTCTGCCCCAGATGCCGATACGCAAATCGGCATCCAGAACATCCAGGCCACGACTTTGGCATGGACGACACGGTCTCTCGTTTTCGCCTTCGTCATGATCTGGCTGACGTACTTCGTCGAGGGCATGCTGTCCGCTTCTCTTGTGGCTTTGACGCCCTACGTGACCTCCAACTTCGCATTACACTCGCTTACGCCCACCGTGTCTATTCTTAGCAGCGTCATCGGCGGTGTCACGAACCTCACGCTCGCCAAGATCCTCGATGTCTTCGGTCGCCCCCAGGGATACCTATTCTGTGTCGTCCTCGCGACGGCCGGGCTCATCATGATGGCCGCGTGCAACAACGTCGAATCCTACGCCGCCGCCCAAGTGTTCCAGACTGTCGGCAACAATGGAATCCAGTACAGTCTGACCGTACTCATCGCCGACACCTCTACCCTGCGCAATCGAGGCCTAGTACAGTCCATTGCCAGCTCCCCAAATCTGATCACTGGATGGCTTGCAGGGCCCATCGCTTCCGGCTTCCTTGCCCTCGGGCCTGAAGGCTGGCGCTGGGCGTTTGGCATGTTCACGATCATGGTCCCGGCAATCACTCTCCCTCTCTCTGGTCTATTCCTTAAGAACTACTTCAAAGCAAAGAAGCTCGGTCTTGCCCAGACCAAGGAAAATCATGGCAACGCCCTCCAGAGCTTCGTCTACTACTGTCGCCAGTTCGATGCCGTTGGTCTTCTCCTCATCTCGGCTGGTGTCGCCCTGTTCCTCCTTCCCTTTAACCTCTACACTCTCCAGGCGCGAGGCTGGAACTCGCCCCTTGTCATCAGCATGCTGGTTGTCGGCATCGTCCTCATCATTGCCTTTGTTATCTGGGAGAAGTTCTTCGCTCCCGTCACCTTCATTCCCTACTCCCTTCTTCTTGATCGCACCGTCTTTGGCGCTTGTATCCTCTCCGCTATCCTCTTCCTCAGCTACATGCTGTGGAACAGCTACTTTACCTCATATCTGCAGGTTGTCAAGAACTTGAGTGTCGAGAATACGGGCTACGTCGTCCAGGTTTATACCGTTGTGTCCGTATTGTGTGCCATTGGCACTGGTGCTATCATTCACCATAGCGGACGTTTCAAGCCCATTTGTCTCTATGTTGCCATTCCTTTGAGCATTTTCGGGCTGGGCCTAATGATCCACTTCCGCAACCATGGAGATGTTGGATACATCATCATGTGCCAAATTTTCATCTCCATTGCCGCTGGTATCGTCATCATCACTGACGAGATTGCCGTCCTGGCCGCCGCGTCGCACCAATACGTTGCCGTGAGCTTGGCGGTCTTGGGCATGTTTGGAAATGTCGGTGGCGCCATAGGTCTCACGGTCGCTTCTGCCATCTGGCAACATGTCATGCCCGAGAAGCTTATGAGCTATCTCCCTGTCGAGGATCTGGAGAACCTGCCAATGATCTATGCTGATCTCACCACCCAGTTAAGCTATCCGGTGGGATCGCCAACCCGGATCGCCATCCAACATGCGTATGCAGACACTCAGACAGTTCTTCTATCTACCGGAACTGGTATCTGGGTCATCGGTCTTATTGGTGTCCTCATGTGGCGTGACATCAATGTCAAGAGTGTGAAGCAGCAGGCCAAGGGCCATGTT